TTTTTTTTTTTCGATGGTTTTATATAATTTGTGTTTGGAAAAATTGAAATAGGAATTGAGTGCCTAATTTGTTGTTGCCGGTTTTTGATAAATTTTCATCTTTTTATTTATTAATTGTATTTGTTTATATAGTTTGATGGATTATTATTGTTGTGAAACACCTATGAATGGAAAAAGACTCAGTTTTGCAATATATTGAATTCTGAATGTTGAGCAACTAACATAGAAGAATTAGTTCTAGAAATTATTTGCCATGTCCAGTAGTTTTCACATTAGTAAATGAATATTAAATTCATATCAAATTGAAGTAAAAAGTTATGAGATAGGTATGACAAGTAGCCCTCCACATAATTTTTCATCATCTCATGAGCATTTAGGAAAAGCCATCCTGAACTTTTGAAATTTCAAATTGGAAGTTGCAAATAATCTTAGATTCTAAAGTGATGCATAAACTAAGTGTAAGTTAGAAAACAATGTCAATCTGGAGTTGATAAATACTCAAGAAATCAAAAATTGGGATTTTCACTTACACATTTGGATCCAAGCAAAAAATGAAACTACAAAAGCTTTAAAAAACAAGTTTGATTCCATGAAGAAAGATTGGCGCCTTTGGAAATATTTTAAAACTGGAGAGACAGGGCTAGGTTGGGATCCTACTACCGGAAAACTGGATTGCTCTAATGACTGGTGGGAGAGAAAAATCAAGGTAATAATAATTTTAAATTAGCTCAAGTGTTAAAATTTCAACATATTGAGCATTTAAAAACTTATTTCTATTATGTAGGAGAAGCCTGAAGCGAAGAAGTTTCGTAATAAAGCGATACCTCCTTCTCTTGAAGAACTGTGGGATAATCTATTTGGAGACACGGTTGCTACTGGTTAAATTGAATAGCACCTTCTGTTGGGTTCTGTGAGTAACGTCAAACAACATGCACAGTATTGAACTTATCGAAATAAATCCTAACGCAGCGGAATCTATAGTTAGGATATGGACGTTTACCTTTTAAAAAAATTTTGTCGACTCTGAGACGATGTAGAGTACCGTTGATGTAGTTCGTCTGAACACCACAATCTAATAAGCAGATAGATTTGGCCTTTAATCGATTCTAATGGATAGTTCCAACGAAGCTTTGATCACATGGCAGTCGGGTCTCGGATTGGTGCAGCGACAGGTTGTGCGCGTCGGGCGCGGACAACGTGCGGATACGCGAGCAGCTGCGAACGCGCGTCGGGCG